AAGAGGGTGGGAGAGTTTCAGTGGAGAGGAATGAATGGGATTAGGTCAGGGGTTTCAAATAGAGTTAGAGCTAAAGAAGGAGTAGCAATAATGTTGAAGGATAAGTTATGGCAGGAAAAGAAGGACTACAAACGTATTAATTCAAGGATTATGTGGAGTAAAATAAAGATTGGATGTGAAAAGTGGGTTATAGTAAGCATATATGCACCTGGAGAAGAGAGAAGTGTAGAGAGAGAGAGAGAGAGAGAGAAATTTTGGGAAATGTTGAGTGCATGGGGAGTTTTGAACCAAGTGTGAGAGTAATGGTGGTTGGGGATTTCAATGCTAAAGTGGGCAAAAATGTTGTGGAGGGAGTAGTAGGTAAATTTGGGGTGCCAAGGGTAAATGAAAATGGGGAGCCTTTAATTGAGCTGTGTGTAGAAAAAGGTTTAGTAATAAGTAATATATATTTTATGAAGAAGAGGATAAATAAATATTCAAGGTATGATATAGTACATAATGAAGGTAGTTTGTTAGATTATGTATTGGTGGATAAAAGGTTGATGGGTAGGCTCCAGGATGTACACGTTTATAGAGGGGCAACTGATATATCGGATCATTATTTAGTTGTAGCTACAGTTAGAGTAAGAGGCAGATGTGAAAAGAGGAAAATGGCAACAACAAGCAAGAGGGAGGTGAAAGTGTATAAACTGAGGGAGGAGGAAGTTTGGGTGAGATATAAGCAACTATTGGCAGAAAGTTGGGCTGGTGCAAGTATGAGTAGTGGGGGGGGGGGGTTGAAGAGGGTTGGAATAGTTTTAAAATGCAGTATTAGAATGTGGGGAAGAAGTTTGTGGTTATTGGAGAGTGGGTGCAGGAGGAAAGAGGAGTGATTGGTGGAATGATGAAGTAAAGGGTGTGATAAAAGAGAAAAAGTTAGCTTATGAGAGGTTTTTACAAAACAGAAGTGTTATAAGAAGAGTAAAAGAAAGGTGAAGAGAATGGTGAGAGAGTGCAAAAGGAGAGCAGGTGATAGTGGGAGAGGCACTGTCAAGAAATTTTAATGAAAATAAGAAAAAAATTTTGGAGCGAGTTAAACAAGTTAAGAAAGCCTAGAGAACGAATGGATTTGTCAGTTAAAAACAGAGTAGGGAAGTTAGTAGATGGGGAGATGGAGGTTTTGGGTAGATGGCAAGAATATTTTGAGGAACTTTTAAATGTTGACGAAGAAAGGGAAGCAGTAATTTCATGCACTGGCCAGGGAGGTATACCATCTTTTAGGAGTGAAGAAGAACAGGATGTGAGTGTGGGGGAGGTGCGTGAGGCATTACATAGAATGAAAGGGGGTAAAGCAGCTGGAACTGGCAGGATCATGACAGAAATGTTAAAAGCAGGGGGGATATAGTGTTGGAGTGGTTGGTATTTTTGTTTAATAAATGTATGAAAGAGGGGAAGGTACCTAGGGATTGGCAGAGAGCATGTATAGTCCCTTTATATAAAGGGAAGGGGACAAAAGAGATTGTAAAAATTATAGAGGAATAAGTTTACCGAGTATACCAGGAAAGTGTACGGTAGGGTTATAATTGAAAGAATTAGAGGTAAGACAAAATGTAGGATTGCGGATGAGCAAGGAGGTTTCAGAGTGGGTAGGGGATGTTTAGATCAAGTGTTTACATTGAGGCATATATGTGAACAGTATTTAGATAAAGGTAGGGAAGTTTTTATTGCATTTATGGATTTAGAAAAGGAGTATGATAGAGTGGATAGGGGAGCAATGTGGCAGATGTTGCAAGTATATGGAATAGGTGGTAACCTGGAGTTTACCTGGAGAGAGTTCCGGGGGTCAACGCCCCTGCGGCCTGGTCTGTGACCAGGCCTCCTGGTGGGTCAGAGCCTGATCAACCAGGCTGTTACTGCTGGCTGCACGCAAACCAACGTACGAGCCACAGCCCGGCTGGTCAGGTACTGACTTTAGGTGCTTGTCTGGTGACAGCTTGAAGACTGCCAGGGGTCTATTGGTAATCCCCCTTATGTATGCTGGGAGGCAGTTGAACAGTCTCAGGCCCCTGACACTTATTGTATTGTCTCTTAACGTGCTAATGACACCCCTGCTTTTCATTGGGGGGATGTTGCATCGTTTACCAAGTCTTTTGCTGTCGTTGTGCAAGTTCGGTACTAGTCCCTCTAGGATTTTCCAGGTGTATATAATCATGTATCTCTCCTGCCTGCATTCCAGGGAATACAGGTTCAGGAACTTCAAGTGCTCCCAGTAATTGAGGTGTTTTATCTCTGTTATGCACGCTGTGAAGGTTCTCTGTACATTTTCTAGGTCAGCAATTTCACCTGCCTTGAAAGGTGCTGTTAGTGTGCAGCAATATTCCAGCCAGGTAAGCTACTAAATGCTGTAAAGAGTTTTTATGAGGATAGTGAGGCTCAGGTTAGGGTGTGTAGAGGAGAGGGAGACTACTTCCCAGTAAAAGTAGGTCTTAGACAGGGATATGTAATGTCACCATGGTTGTTTAATATATTTATAGATGGGGTTGTAAAAGAAGTAAATGCTAGGGTGTTCGGGAGAGGGGTGGGATTAAATTATGGGGAATCAAATACAAAATGGGAATTGACAGTTGCTTTTTGCTGATGATACTGTGCTCATGGGAGATTCTAAAGAAAAATTGCAAAGGTTAGTGGATGAGTTTGGGAGTGTGTAAAGGTAGAAAGTTGAAAGTGAACATAGAAAAGAGTATGGTGATGAGGGTATCAAATGATTTAGATAAAGAAAAATTGGATATCAAATTGGGGAGGAGGAGTATGGAAGAAGTGAATGTTTTCAGATACTTGGGAATTGACGTGTCGGCGGATGGATTTATGAAGGATGAGGTTAATCATAGAATTGATGAGGGAAAAAAGGTGAGTGGTGCGTTGAGGTATATGTGGAGACAAAAAACGTTATCTGTGGAGGCAAAGAAGGGAATGTATGAAAGTATGGTAGTACCAACACTCTTATGTGGGTGTGAAGCTTGGGTTGTGAATGCAGCAGCGAGGAGGCGGATGGAGGCAGTGGAGATGTCCTGTCTAAGGGCAATGTGTGGTGTAAATATTATGCAGAAAATTCGGAGTGTGGAAATTAGGAGAAGGTGTGGAGTTAATAAAAGTATTAGGCAGAGGGCTGAAGAGGGGTTGTTTAAGTGGTTTGGTCATTTAGAGAGAATGGATCAAAGTAGAATGACATGGCGAGCGTATAAATCTGTAGGGGAAGGAAGGCGGGGTAGGGGTCGTCCTCGAAAAGGTTGGAGGGAGGGGGTAAAGGAGGTTTTGTGGGCGAGGGGCTTGGACTTCCAGCAAGCGTGCATGAGCGTGTTAGATAGGAGTGAATGGAGACAAATGGTATTTGGGACCTGACGATCTGTTGGAGTATGAGCAGGGTAATATTTAGTGAAGGGATTCAGGGAAACCAGTTATTTTTATATAGCCGGACTTCAGTCCTGGAAATGGGAAGTACAATGCCTGCATTCTAAAGGAGGGGTTCGGGATATTAGCAGTTTGGAGGGATATGTTTGTGTATCTTTATACATATATGCTTCTAAGCTGTTGTGTTCTGAGCACCTCTGCAAAAACAGTGATTATGTGTTAGTGAAGTGAAAGTGTTGATGATGAAAGTTTTTTCTTTTTGGGGATTTTCTTTCTTTTTTGGGTCACCCTGCCTCGGTGGGAGACGGCCGACTTGTTAAAAAAAAGAAAAAGTCATCTTAGGAGATAAAGGGTTAATGGACTAATAGGAGAGAGCAGGTAGCCGAGTGTTTGTGGTGGATGGAGATGAAATTGTTTTGCCTGATTGTAACAATACTGGATAATTTTGTAACCAATGAACTTGGTCTTTTATTTAAGAGCTGGCTACCACTTGGTTAGTTAAAATCTAATTGATGACTGCATTCCAAGTACCTTTCAGGTAGAGTAAATAGACAATGGGATAAGCCAAATGGTAATTCAAAGACACAACATGGCTTGATGAAGCTACACTGTGGTTGGTAAAGGTTCACTTAGTTAAACATTGTAAAATAAGGGTCTTCTCTGCCTACCTACTATGACCCCTGAGATAGCATGTTTTTATTATTGCCCTGTGCATTGTGTTCAACCAGGTCCCAGTACCCTACAATCTGCCATCTACTATCCCACATTGGATTGCATTTTTTTTTTTAAACTAACAGGAAGTTTCATAGCTAATGATCTGGGTCAGCTCCAGACAGTTGGCAGTTCATCAAAGCCTAAGAGAAACCATGAAGTGCTTCCCATCAGTGACAAGTGCTAATATTCCACTTCTTATGCTTAATTTATTATTTAAACTTTATCATAGGTATGTATGTAAATTGTAGGTAGTAGGTTGGTAGACATCAACCGCCCAGGGAGGTACTACCGTCCTGCCAAGTGAGTGTAAAGCTGAAGCCTGTAATTGTTTTACACGATGGTAAGATTGCTGGTGTCTTTTTTTTATCTGTCTCATACACATGCAAGATTTCAGGTATGTCTTGCTACTTCTACTTACACTTAGGTCACACTACACATACATGTACAAGCATATATATACACACCCCTTTGGGTTTTCTTCTATTTTCTTTCTAGTTCTTGTTCTTGTTTATTTCCTCTTACCTCCATGGGGAAGTGGAACAGAATTCTTCCTCCGTGAGCCATGCGTGTTGTAAGAGGCGACTAAAATGCCGGGAGCAAGGAGCTAGTAACCCCTTCTCCTGTATATATTACTAAATGTAAAAGGAGAAACTTTCGTTTTTCCTTTTGGGCCACCCCGCCTCAGTGGGATATGGCCGGTGTGTTGAAAGAAAGAAAGAATGTATGTAAATGAAAAATGGTCTTGAAACATATCACCTGTAGATACAGGGGAAAACTACTGTATTTTTTATTTGTTTACCCATCTTTATAACCCTTTCCCCATAGCACTGCTACTGATAATGAGATTTTCTTTTTTACAGAAGATTGAGATGGTAACCTGATATATTCTGTGATTGCAGATGTGATGAATTCCCACTTATTGTGGTATAAATTGTAGATACGAAGATGATATGAGGGGGGAGCGTTAAGGAGCTGTGATCTATTCGGGTTGAGCACGTCTCCCTGAGTGTAAGTACTGCAGCCCAGGTATTGACATGAGCTTTGTTTCTAACATCAAATTATTCCATGTTGTACAGTGGACTTGTCCTTTACTAGAGAACTCTCAGATTAACTGAGCAGTGGCTTTTGTGCTACAACTATTGCAGAGATTTTCTGGAAAATAGTATAGGGATTTCTTGTAGAGTTTTTAGGGATTTTGTAGATTATATCATGGATTTTGTGAAGACTATTGTAGGGATACTTGCAGGGTGGGAAGAAGATTAGCAGAGCTGTATCAAATTATTTTGCCATGCCATTTTTTAAGGAGGAATATTGTAATTTGGCAAGCTATTCAAATTGCTAGAAATAAACAAGATTGATTTTTAATAGTAAAAATATCATTGATATAAATTTGTCCCAGAATTGAGAAACTTATTTTTGTTAGTAAAGTTAAATTTCATGTGTAACAGGTATCAGGAATACTGATTAAGATGACTATATACAAGTTTTATATATTGTTAAGGATATTACACAAAAGTAATGCATACGTAAAAGAATACCAGTGTGTGAATTAATCAGAAGTCAAATGGGAGAGCACTGTTTTCAGAAATTGACAGTTTAATACAAAATTTTCAGGAATTTAATTACAGTACAATAAACCCTCCATTTAACAGTCTTTGGAAATACAGAATTAAACCCTGTGTGTTAATTGATTTAGAAAACAATGTACAAATCTTTTGGTTGTCAAATTGTTCATTGTTATGATCACAGCAAAACAATATTTTCTTTATCTGGCCATTGTTACTTACTATTTAAAATAAACTTAATACAGCCTATCCTCACTTAGCGACGTACTCGTTTACTGACGACTTGGACTTATGACAGGCTCTCTGACCAGTATGCATACCTAAATAATGTATATTAGAGCTGATTTCCTCCATTCTGTTTATTACAATATACAGTACACTACTGTATAAACATTTAAAAATGACATTTAAAGGTGACATTAAAACAATGTCAAAGATGGTTGACACAAACCCGCCACCATTATAGTATGCTCTTCACTTAGCGGTGAATTTGTTTACTGACGTGGTCTTAGGAACGGGACCCTGTCGTTAAGTGAGGAGAGGCTGTATTGTGAGATTCAAACATCATATGCTCTTGGGGTACAGTAAATCCCCTGTTTACTGGCTATCCATTCCCTGTGATTAGTCTGTTAAATAGAGGATTTACTGTACTCCAACACAATTTGATGCTTGAATCTCGCAATATTAAGTGTATTTTAAATACACTTAATATTGGACTTTCAGGAAATTTCGTAACTAATAAATCTTACATCTATGCAGATCAGAGATGGTGACTGGGTTTATCCTTTTAATGTAGGCTGTGACAAACCAAGAGTCCTTGGGTAGATACTGGGATAAAAATACATGGATCAGCAGAGAACTATATGGAGATAATACAAGGATCACTGAAGGCCTAAGCAACTACCCAAGTAAGACTACGTGCTCTTTCTAACAATTCTCTCCCTGAGGGTGGGGTCACCTTACTGTGGTGGGAGAGCTTAAGTAACTGTCAAAGAACCCATCTCTCCTTTGCCTTCCATTATTTGGCTAGCATGGTGGATTTTTCACCATTTGTTAAATTTTACTGTGGAGGATTACGGAACATGTCACTGCTGTCTTGCCAACTGATCCTCAAAGCTCCAAGGGGATTCAACTGTCAAGAGACTTTGGGTGGGTCACAGGGTGGTAAATGTGGTTTCAGAGGTATTACTGGAAGTCAGCTTCAAATCCAAGAGTAGTGAGTGATAGTGTACAATTCTTGGTGTTTTTTCCAGTTCACCTTCGGGTACTACTAGCCGAATTCTGATAGCTTTTCCTAGGCTCCACTTAACCCTTTCACTCTGCAAACCTTCAAAGTCAGTATTGTTCCCGGTGTCCACCTTTAACCCTTTCAGGGTTTTAGCCGTACTAGTACGTCTTATGCACCAGGGTTTTTGACGTACTAGTACACCTAAATTCTAGCGCCCTTAAATCTTGTGAGAGAAAGCTGGTAGGCCTACATATGAGAGAATGGGTCTATGTGGTCAGTGTGCGCAGTATAAAAAGAATCCTGCAGCACACAGTGCGTAATGAGAAAAAAAAATTTGACCGTGTTTTTGGATTAAAACAGCGACTTTGCACTGTATTTTCGTATGGTATTTATTGTTGTATTCTAGTTTTCCTGGTCTCATTTTATAGAATGGAAGACATATTACAGAAATTGAGATGATTTTGACTTGATTTTACAAAGAAAACTACCTTGAAATTGCGCTCAAAGTAGCAGAAATGTTCGATTTTTACCAAAGTTCAAAAGTATACAAATCATGCTATGCGTCCAATACACGTCAACTGGTGAGTCTAATATTCTTTCACAAGTGCGCTGATAATATTTATACCATTTCTACAATGCAGTAGTCTGCATAACAGTAAATCTTTTATTTTTTGTGAGAATAAAAATTCAAAGTCGAAAGCAAAAGTACGTAAGAGGGGCATGGGGACATGACTAATGAACAGAGGAAATGTTATTTTAGTGCCAGGAATGTCTTTCTTGTTTATTCTGGACCCTATTTGGAAATTGGCATCTTTTGAAATTTGTGTGAAATTGGCAAAATTGCTAAATTCTGACCACTGTATTGGATAGTTGAAATCGGTAAATGGGTGGTTTCTTGTACTTATTCGATAGAAAAAATGGAGTTCTAGCGAAATACACCTACCATCCGACTTACGACCGAGTTCAGTTCCGAGAAACCGGTCGTAAGTCAAAATGGTCGTAAGTCAAACTTTACTACTGAATATCAACATCACATTTTTGTAATGACTTTATTTTATTGTTTTATTTTGGTATTTCATGTTTTAGTTTACTTTTTTGCTGTTAGTGCTGTATTTTATACTGTAAGGTTTAGGATAAACACTGTGTACAACACAAATAGTTGTGTATTTCCCAGAAATTTGGCATAAAAAACACGGTCGTAAGTCGAGTGGTCGTAAGTCGAGCAGGTCGTAAGTTGGATGGTAGGTGTAGTTATGATTTTTGTCGACAAGTACACTGGAATTGGCCGAAAATAGGGCTCAGAGTGGGCAAAATAGTTGATGCATAAACATTGTCGAGACCGCTAACCTCGCGAGAGCATAATTCCGTAAGTTTTCCATCAAATTTCATACTTTTGGTGTCATTATGATCGGGAAAAGATTCTCTATCTTTTCATAAGAAAAAATCATTTTTTTTTCTTTTGAAATTTGGCCGACCTTGAGAACAAGTCTCATGAGAGGGCCTGTCGACCCTGAAAGGGTTAAAAAAATAAATTCTGAAGTGATAGAAAATCTTTTTCTAAAAATTTTATGGAATTATGCAGTGAAAGAGTTAGTGTTCTGGGTGCAATTTATGCAGCATCAATTTCACCAAGTTTGAGTCCAATTTTAAGTCATTTTCAGTATTCATTTCAACTAAATTCTTAACTATTTCACCTGTATGCCTTCCATTCTATGAATCGAGGATAAGAAATGGTCCATTCAACTATTATGACTACACTGTAAATTGCACAGAAGTTGGTTATTTTGGCCAGTTTTACACAAATTTAAAAAATAATGTGGACATTCCTGGCACTAAAGCATTTTTTCTGTTCATTTATCAGGTTCTTAGGCCTTTCCAACACTTGCCCTCCATTCTGAATTCATAATCACTAAAATAAAAGATTTACTCCATCTTCTGGATAATAAAATATAGCCAGTAATGATTCATCATGGTTTATGACATCCCAATAATTGAATCAGACTTACTGAGAATCCATTAAACAGACCAAGGGGTGCAAGGGCAATCATACCTCTCCTTAGGAAAATCAGCAAAGTTGAATATTTCTTCTACTTTGAGCAAAATTTCAAGCTACTTCTGATCCTGAAACCAAACAAAATTATCTCTATTTTGAGTAGTATGCCTTCCATTCTATCAAATGATACCAAGAAACAGCTAATAAAACCATAAAAACCATCTGAAAGTCGCTATTTTAAGCCATACACATGGTCAGTTTTGCTTTTCCTGTTGTGTACCACATGGTGCAGGATTTTTTTTTTTGTATTGTGCACACTCACCACACAGATCCAGTCTCGGATATCTAGGTCAACATTTACCACTCACAGCTTATCAGAGTGAGCTGAGCTCATTATGTTGAAGTATGTGAGGGGTCCTGGCCTCAGTGACGTAGTTCTACATGACAGCCGCTGAAGGGGTTAAATAGGCTGTTTTGCTAAGTCTTCCTCTGTTACTTGTTGGAGAAGAATTGTGGGGGTTGTGCCCTGGGTAGAGTGAAGGGTGATCCCTGGGAAAGTTGGCACTGTTACAGTGGTTGGGATTATGGAGACTAGTGGAGGGTAATTATTCATTTTTATCAGTAATTGGCAGTCTCCCTTTTTTCTATGTGCATTTGTACATTGTGCTCTCTTCTTCATATTGACAAGATTGTGACAAGAGGCAAACCTACTCTGCTGGTTGCTGAAGGAGCCTATGTCTGGATCTAGTTCATGAAAGTGACCCAGAACCAACCGCTGCCAGGTAACTTGTGCTGCTAGCCCTGATTATGGCTGGCACTTGGAAAGCAGTTTGCTTGATATCCCAGCCAGTAGTAGTTTCTGGTCATCCTTAACACTTAGGTACTTCATCTAAGGGTTAGGTGCAACACAAAGTACAGTACTTGGTTACAGAAACATTTAGTCAATACTAACTCCAGTTACCAGTTTTAACAATTGTTCGTCATGAAAGCTTCATTTTTCTTAAAGAAGCATGAAGGAAAATTGAGTGCTTTTGCCACAGACACTGCCAGTTAAAATGCTGCAGCAAAGGAGGCTTCATTATGTTCCTCCTCCATAAATATCATTTCCTTAGACAAGGAGACAGGAGCATCTGGCAGTCTTGCAACTATAAAATCGGAAATGCTGGACCCGAGATTTTTATCTGACTTATATAGTCTTGGCTGGATCATCATCTTTCTTTCAATAAACTGTATTTTGTTTACCCTATGCAGCATCCAGGACCTTGTAATAATGGTCCAGTAGCTGGGACAGGCAGGAGCGGCCTGCTCTAAACTCGTGTTGCCCTGGGTTGTGCAATTGTTGGGTATCTAGGTGGTTGGCGATCTTGCTTCTTAGAACCCTTTCAAAGATTTTTTGATATAGGTTTTAGTTCAATCAGACTCTATTATTATTATTATTATTATTATAATCAAGGGGAAGCGCTAAACCCGTAGGATTATACAGCGCCTGGGAGGGATGTGGAAGGCATTCAGGCTTAATTCGGGGAACTGGAGCACAGATCCAATTCCCTAAATCAAGAGCCCCTCACCAACATCAAGGAACCTTCCCTGAGGGGAATCAGTCTCTAGTTCTTTACAATTGCTTTACTGCCACCTTTGTAGAGTGGGGCTATGTCTATTGTTTTTAGTGAGCGTGGGATGACCCCTGTGTCCATGCTCCCTCTCCATAGAATGCTGAAGGCACGAGACTGGCTTCTTGCAGTTCTTAATGAACACGAAGTTCCACGAGTCTGAGCCTGGGGCAGAGCGCATACACATGTCATTTATTGGCTTTTCAAAGTCTTGTGGTGTTAGGATAATATCTGAGATTTTTGAGATGACCAAATTTTGGGTCTCTTTCATAAAGAATTCATTTGGAGTGTTGATTGACCCTTAGTCTGGGTAACAGCTCGCTGAACACTGAGTCATATTGTGACTTTAGTATCTCGCTCATTTCTTTGTTGTAATCTGTGTACAGTAGGGCCCCACTTATACGGTAGGTTAGGTTCCAGGCTACCGCCGTAAAGTGAAACACCCTTTTTTTCCACTTATAAATGCATACAAATACTAGATAACAAGTTTACACTAACATATATTAATTTAGCAATAGAACTAGGCATTAAAAAACAATAAAAAAGTAAAATACACATATAGTGCACTCATTACTTACCTTAAAATATTTGTAGTCTTAATCTAGGGTGAGACAAGTAGTATTTATTGTAAGAAATCAAGTGTGGTATGTATGGTAGTCAACCAGGCTACCATTCCAGGCCACCCTACCTACACATAATATTCTATGACATTTAAGCATCCCAGACCAATAAAATGCATATACAGTTCACTCATTATTTACCTTAAAATATTTGTAGTCTTAACCCCTTGACTGTCGCAACCCCAAATCCTAAGGTGTGTCCTGGCGTCACAAAATTTCCAAAAAAAAAAAAAAAAAATTTTTTTCTTATAAAATGATAGAGAATCTTTTCCTGATTGTAATGACACCAAAAGAACAAAATTTGATGGAAAACTGAAGTTATTGACCTCGGCGATATTTACAAAGCGGCAATTTCGCCCACTTTGAGCCCTACTTTTGGCTAATTCCATTGTTCCAGTCGACCAAACTCATAGCTATTTATTTAGCACTCCATCTTTTTCTATTGATTGAGTACAAG